TTATTAGAAAATTTATCAAAGTTTTGAACAGCTCTCAAATGACAGTTTTACTGACAATGTATCAAGTCATAAGGAGCCAAGATAAAATAGGTAGTCAATAAAAGAATGTTTTAATGATCTAAATCTTTATATCATGGACTGTAGCTGATTCTGTTTTAGGGAAAAGAAAATGTCATTTTTTTCTCTATATGCACAATAGATTTTTTGCTATTTAATTATATTTTTCTGAAAATGCAGTACATCTTTAACCTGTGGTGCAAAGTTCTTCTTAAGTTCTGGATTGTAAAAAGAAAACTGATACATCTACAATGGAAGAAAAATTACATATTGTGATGTTGTGCTCAATATTTTTAGTACAATATTGAAGTCATCATTATGATCATAAAAAGTATTCATTATGCAATTCAAAACTATGCTAACTGCTACAATAAAGAGTTTGAACAAGTGTAAGTCAGGGCTGTCTCACTCTGTATTATCAGCATAGACAATGAAAGGTGTATTAGCAGGAAAATAAAAATACTGAGACTATACATGAAAAGACAGTGAAGAATTTGCACCATAGACAGGTGAATGCATTAGAGGTAGAAGAATGGATACAAATATTACTGGGAAAAGTAACCATGGAATTTCCATGTGGCCAAACGACAGCAGTTTGCCAACTCTTTATTAACACTGAAGATGTAAAACTCTGGTTGTATTTGACTATCTAACTAGATAACTTAGTCTAAAAGTAAACATTTTCAGTATATGAATTCTCACTTCACCATAAATTGGTAGATAACATAAGTATGAATCATTGAATATGTAATGTGTGCATAGCCCTCTGTTATAAATGAAATCATCTGTTTTGTATTTCTACAATGTCTAAGCAGGAATTAAGTGGTTAAAATAAAGTACACTGCTAAAACACCATGCATTTGCTCTTTCAATTATTTCCAGATTTAATCATGATTTGTGTTTCAAGTAAGTCACTTAAAATTTCAATAACTTAGTTTCCCAGGCTGCAAGTTGAGCATGTTAAAAAGGAGAGATATTAAATGATCAACAGTACATTAAGCCCAAAGCTACCCTTTTTCCCTGCTCTGACACAAGGAGTTATGCGTAAACTTCCATATGCTTTAAAACTGTATGCTGGAGAGGGCAGAGCAGGATTTATTATGGCTCCATCAGTTAGCCTAAGCATGTATGCCCTAGAAAGAATCAGGCAAAAGACTGAAAACAAATTTAATAAACTTTATTCTTCTTTTCAATTTTGGGTAAGGTGCTCCTAATTAAGTAATTTAGACAGTGGTAAGACAGGGAAATTCCAAATGCAAGAAAGTTGGGTTGGAAAATATGAGTGGGACAACTCTGTACTTTGTTTTGTAATCCTTGTGATAGTTTGAGACGTTTTGGAATCTCTTGGGATAAAAAGCCCGACATAACCTTATTTTGTCATTTCTTTCTGGCTCTTCCATTCTGGACACCACAGTGTGGTAAAATGATTGCACTAGTGAGAGTTGCCAGCTTTGCCCTGATGTTCTCCTGAAATTGTGTGGAAGTGGCAAGGTGGTGAGGGTGTTCTTAGCTGCTAACAGAACCATCCATCTTCACCTGGTGTTGATCCCTATGGGAAACTTCACCACTAAATTGAGAACGAGTAGCCTAGAAAGCTACTCGGACAGGCATTTCTGAAGTATAATGATGCTGCTCTCCTTTAGCAACATTTCTGAAATGTGAGCGCTCTCAGAATTTCCAAATTTAAAAAAATAATATTAACGACATGTAATTGTAACATGGGAATACCGCGAGAACAGCAGTTTGGCAGGAAAAGGGGGTATTTCAAAATAAGGTCCCCGGCAAGAAAAGTTCTGGCAGATGCACAATCCTGGATCATATTATCCAAACTGTTAGATTCTGGAAGATTTGGGGTTTTCTTTTGTGGTTCTCATACCCTTAATAGGATGGTAATAGATGATCATCTTCCAAACTATGTAGCTTCTCCCTCCATTACTACTGTGGGAAATAAATATACAAAGGGCATTCATTACAACAAGCATTCCTACCTCCAGAGGGGGTTTAACACCCAAATGGCTCTGTCAGGTATAAAACTTCCTCTGGGCTTATGCCTATTCTCATATGTAATGCTATTTATTGAAGATCATCTTAGAAAGCTCACTATCCTAACATTTGAGAAAGCCCTGGATCCTAACTCCTCTCTGGTGAGAGCACAGTCTTAGCACCAGTTAAATCTCTCAACTGGTTAAGAATGGTGCTTAAAGTTAATGCCTGTGGCCTCTGTGTCTTGAGACTTAAATTGAAGATTGTTATTTGAGATTCTTAGGCTTTGAAAAATATTCTATTCATTTGGGCTTGAAAGAAAAGATCACCCATCAATGAAAAAAAGAGAGAGGAAAACATAAGTAATTTCTAGAAAGCAAGTACAATCAGGTTAACTGTTTGTCAGGGTAAAAATATGTAGAATTAAGAGAGATTCCTCTGGTCTCCTATGTAAATCAGATTAAATGCTTTAGAATTTAAACCCATATCTCTTTCAGCTATTTCATTTTCAAATAAGAAGTTTAAATGGGAATGGGAAAAAAAAGCTCAATTGGCTTAACATAAATCGTTAAAAGGCAGGAAGTTTCACCCTCAAAAAGTAGTTGAATCTCTGAGGAAAAAGAAAAGGCTGAATTCTATTTTTCATAAATGATGGATTATTGTACCACACTGTGTATTTTCCAGTAAAGTGTCCTTTTATTTGCACTGTGTGATTACAAGTTTCTAAAAGTATGTGTGGGGTCACTTGGGTGCTGTGGGAAAATGGAAGGAACACTGTTCTGTTAAACTCGGTAGTGAAATCAGAAGCAAACTATGTCCTGATTATCATAGGCATGTGTTTAAATTTTGCTTTCCTTAATTGGTTATGTTGTATTTACTTAAAATGAACAATTTGGCAAGTTTTTCTCCCTTGACAACAGAAAAGCGTAAACTGTTTTATAAGTTTGGCTGTTAAAATCAGATTTGTAAACCACAATATTCAAAGACTTTTACTGCTGTTTTCAGGGACTTAGTGATAGACCTTTCTTTATAACCATGCGTTTCTAACATTTTTATTTTGTATTTATAGTGCTTTCAAGTTATTTGGTTAATAAAAAGTATGCCATATATTATAGTCATCTATTAACTTTTAACTTCTGCATAGCTCTTCTTAGAACAAAATGAGTGGAATGAATGATGGCAAAGGCCTTGTAATTTGACTTGTCATCTGAGGACAATTATTTATGGCTTCAGGAAATGGAAGTTGATGCTCTAGTCTATCTCCAGGAAGTCATTATTACAGGCAACTTTGAAGATTCTTTTGGCTATGTTAAAAACTGTGCAATGTTTCTCAGAATGTGTTATAAGAAGGAAACAAGAAACAGCATTTAGAAACATAGTCCCATTTCCTTTAAAAAGCCAATGTACCTTACAGACATTTCTCACATGTGGAGCCAGATGGTGGAATTGAAAACAGTATAATATACATATATAACTCTCCAATTAAGAATACTATCACCAGAACACCTAGAGGGTTCCAAAAAGATATAACTCATTACATAATTATTTTCACAACCTACATTTATGCTGTGTACGTATGTGTGTATGTGTGTTTTAATTTGTAAAGTATTTTCTAATCACATCATATTTACTAGTTCCAAAATGGCAGAAAAATACCTCGGTTGTCCCCACATTTCTTAGCATTCTGTAACAGGTAATGGGAAGATTTGGGAGTGAAACCAGAAATAAGAAATATGACATTTGGTAATTATAAAAGCTTTGGTTATTCCATATGATTCCAAAGATGTACTTAAAACCTAAATTTCCCAAAGCATGTTTTTTGAAGAGTGTTAAAGTGTTCCTTTAGCCTCCAACACTAGAACCCAGACCTGGGGAGTTTGACTTCAGCATCAGGTAAAGCAGATCTCATACTCTTGGTGTTCATCTCAAAGTTGATAAGATATCTTATAGGATTCATATATTAAGATGCTTAGAATAAGTCTTCCAATCATACAGTTTTGAAGCAGTTAATGCCTACATGTTCATGGTCTTATAAAAGCAACTTTTGCTTGCTTGAGTTCTAAGGAGATATACCTTTTCTCCAAAATGACCTAGACCTAATCCCTTCTCTAGAATCCCTTAGTCTCTTGTACTTCTATTATGTTCGTTACCATGCTGCATTGAAATTAAATAAGCCATATGCATGTTATTGACAACAGCTAAACCCCTCACTGCTGTGTCTGTAATAGATGGTCAAATGCTATTTATTTTATATCATGTAGCAGCACTGTCCAGAAAAAATATGGAACCTGATGAATAGAAGAAGGCGACTTTTGGTACAAGAATGAATTTGGCACACACTTGACTTTGAAAATAAAGCCAAGAATAGGTAACTGGGGACAGGGAACTGATGAAGACATGGCAAAGTTTGAGGCAAACTTGTGTTTCCAAATTTCACCTAGAACTTGTAGCCATTCTTCATCAATCAAGAAAATAAGAAATATCTGCTTCAGAAAAAGAAATCACCTTCAGTTAACATTAAAAACAAAGACTGACAGAATTACTTGGACAAGCAGAACCTTCAAAACTGCCTCCATTACCTAGAAATAGTACACAATCAGCATTAATTGGAATTAACAATACTAATGTTCACTCCCCTCCCAATTCAGATGAATTTTTCTTTACTCTGACCATGATTTTAGATACGCAATGTTTAGATATGGAGTTGAAGAAATTATGTAGGTAAATGTTAATATGTTAAATATGAAGGAATGAAAGTGAAAATGAATTGTGAATCCATTGCACATTGGCATTATTTTAGGACTAATGCTTTTATATGGGCAAATTTTACTTCTATGCCCTATTAGACAGAAGGGCCTGAGCTATTAATTCAGGTAGCCATTCTATAACTACTGTTTTCTATTTATATTTGCATAAAGTAATAATCATAAAAAAAAGCCTCCTTTGTTTTTAATCTCCAGTATTCAGACTGCATCACAGTGCTTCCGATACAAGCGACAAAAACCGAGTTAAAAGCAGATTAAAGAAGTTCATTACCCGAAGGCCATCCCTGAAAACTCTGCAAGAAAAAGGACTTATTCAAGGTACAGAACATTCTATACTTGTACTTTAACTGATAGGTGAAAGTCCCTCTGTCCACAGCCAATCAGTTCTAAAGGGATATTGGGATATTTTATTCTTCTTAGATTGCTTATTTAATTTTCCTGGCCTGAAACAGAAAAAATAAAATAGTTGTCCAGAAAATGACCCTTGTGAAAATAAAGGTGGCATCATCAAATCACAGATAAAAAATACTTAGTTTGGGTCTCAGAGAATCTAAACTCTGCACCAGGAGATAAGACTATATCCTCATGGGTAACATGTTAGTATGAGCACATGTTCCCATGTCTCAACACAGATATTTCCCAGTTTATACCTGCTTTCCCAGCATACTTAGCAGTAGATCCTTTCACTTTCAGAAGTGTCCTAATTTGGATAATGATTTCTGATCAACCAAGGCATAGTCTGCAATGATGCTAGGAAGAAAGTCTGAGACAAACTGATGTCATGAAAACCTGACAGCTGAAGGGCTGAAACTCAATCTAAGATGAAATAAGGAGATAGGCTTACAGATACGTCTAAGGAAAAGAAGAAACTACTATAAGCCATCCTAGCCACTAAAATACTCACATTGGCATTGAACAAGTTATGAGCTGAGCCTCAGCTTTCCATCTGTTAAGTGGGAATAGCACTACACAACATTAAGAGGGCATTTTACCTTTACAGAGCCAACTTCATAAAATAATATACTAGTAACTTTGATTCTACCTTAGGAATTCATTTTACAGGCTATCATTTTGCTAGAAAGGATTCAGTTGCAAGTTACCTGAAATCTTAAGTGATTTAAAGCCAGATTAGCAGCCCAAACAATGGTATTTTTACAGAAAGTTTATATCTTTCATGACTGTGGCAAAATGAAAGACATTTTAATTCAATGGCAGGATCTGTCTACTATCAACATGCTATAGAATGAGTAACCTTAGCAGTGTTTTAGAATTGACTTTTGCTTTTGGCAAAGCAACTGGATACCTAATGCAGTTTCCATAACAGTGCAAGGGAACCATTGATCAGACTTGGTGCATGCATTTCCTATGTCAGAGCTCCACTCAATTCTCACCATAGCTGACCAATGAGTCAGTATTCATTAGTAGGACTATGGAAAATCTATGTGAAATTCTGATTTGATAAGCTTCCATTGTTGTCTTCAGTGGAATTCTTTTCCAAATACAAATCAAGTTATGCAAATGTAGTCACTTCTTGGGCTTGTTTCAATTTGAACTATGAATTTTTCTCAAGGCTTTCACTGAGATTTTTTTTCAACTGAGTAAAAGGCATTAAACCAATATTTTAAACTATCTGGCCAGTAAATTTAGTACTTTTATCTAATTTCTTATTGTATTTAAGGAAAAGATTTTGAAAAAGCGATAAAATCAGTATTTTTAATGTTAAGAAAAATCACAAAATTAATGATAAATGGTTATATGGTTAATTTCTCCAAACAAAATCATTTAATTATTTCAAAGGAAAGAATTATTTAGAAAAAGGGAGGATGGTCTTAAAAAATTGTCTGCAGTGCATTTGGCAGCAGAATCTGTATCATATTCCTTAAACTGTCTGATCTTCCAGATCTGGATAAAAGGCCCCCATTGCCAAGGTTAGGAAGGCTGTGCTTTGTAATTTGTGTCTTACAATTGTGCTTCCTGAGAGCTGGGAGGGCCTCTGCAGGATCACAACCACTTTTCAAAGTATATTCTTTTGCATACTATTACCAGTGATTGAGGGGACTAAGCTCTGAGCTCAGCCAGCCATTATTGAGCCCCACTGTAGGGGTGGGAAGGGCTGTGCTTTAAGAAATTTAAAATACCCACCAGCTTCATCTCCATAGAGCACATTATGTGAAAAGACAATTGCCTGATATCAGGCAGTCTAAATTAAGTCAGAAGCTCTTTCTTCAAAACCTATTTTTTGGAGTCATAGAGACGTGTCCAAGATGTGATTGCATTGACTAGAATCTGGTTCTGGAAACAGTCACTTGATAGGGCTGCATTTTCTAATTTCTTTAATATGACTAATGAGAAGGGTACATTGTGATGTTGAAAAAGGAGGAGACAGCAGATAATTCTGAATGATTGCTCAACAAAAAGAAGTCTTGATAGCTCAGGTGGGTGTAGCAATCACATACCATTGTAGTGGTAGCCTCTGAAAAGCTCCTCAAGTGCATTCTTATTTGCCAAGGGGATGAGGAGCCCTTTCAAATGTGGGAGTTTATTACATCAAGTAGCTCATTGGAAATGAAACCTGACTCATTTTAATATGCAAATTATAGGAAAAGGGTGCATTTTAGGGTAGTAGGTGCATTTGTACATAACCTCTACTTATGTTTGGAACTGAAGTAATAGCTCTTTAATTCAGCCAGAGTATCTTATGTAATCATTCAAATAAAGGCATTGACATCCAAGAATAGGAAATAATCAGAAAAACATTTGTTGGTTTTTTTTTTAACTTATTTAGTTTTTGAAAGTACTAGGGTTTGAACTCAGGGCTTCACACTTGCTAGGCAGGTGCTCTACTACTTGAGCCACTCCGCCAGCCCCCCTTTTTTTTAAAATACAATTATTGAGTTTTTTGAGAGACTGGTATTTCTCAGTATTAAAATAATAGGGAAGATTCTACATTCAGAAAAATAGTTTTATTCATCTTAATATGGACAACACCAGTCTGGATGGCATTAGTAGCAACTGAAATTAATGCCATATAATTTTATTTTTCATATATTGTATTACAAGGTGAACAACCTATTTAAAGATTCAGTAGAACACCTCAAAGATGTATGAGTCTCATTCCAGTTTTGATCCCTATGGGCTGCCACCTTCAATGGTTTATATTTACAGTTCTTCAAAAGGCTCCATATCTGTACCATTTTTTTGTAGGAGAGCAGGCTGATTTGTTTCTTCCAACATCTTTTTTATTTTTAATGTTGGGCTGTCTTGGTTTGTCAATTTTATACAATACCTTATGTTTCTGCTGCATTAGGCATGCATTTGACACAGCTACACCATGGCTCATTTACCTGGCCCTTCTCCTCCCCAGGAGAAGACCAGTATATATGGTCAAAACGGCTGGTCTTCCTGCTTCCCCTACCTCTGTTTTTCCTGCTGTGCTTCTACATTGTGAAATTCATATGATTCATTTCCTTCTATAATTTTGACTTGGTCTGTGTATTCCAGTCTGCCACTGATGCTTTTTCTCCAGGAGTATCTTTTTAATTAATTTATTTATTTTTGATAGCACTAGGGTTTGAACTAAGGGCATCAAGCTTACTGGACAGATCTTCTACCACTTAAACCACATCCCTATCTTTTTTTTTTTTTTTTGTTTTCATTGGTTTTTGAATAGGGTCTTGTGCTTTTTACCTGAGGCCAGCCTTGGACTATGATCCTCCTATGCCTCCCACATAGCTGGGACCATAAGGATGCACCACCTACCACCAGCTTTTTGGTTGAGATGAAAACTCACTCACTTTTTTGTCTGGCCCCCATTGTCTTTTTTTAAAGTCAGTTGGTCTTATTTTAGTTTGGACTGTTATCTAGTCTCATTACTTGTCGTGTCCTTTCATTGCTCTTCTTGGTTGTCTTTGCTGTCCTATGAGCCCCATGGCTTTTCTTTCTGGCTCTAATCCCTTTTATTTCTATGCAACAGGATCCATTAACTCATTTAGACAAACATGAGAACTCGACTATCTAAAAATACCTTCAGTATGCCCACATCCTTGACCAATAGTTGAGTTGAGTATAAAATCCCATTGTCTCTAGAACACAGAGTTGCATGTTCCAGTCTTGGAATTGTTCCTTTCTTATATAGAAGAGTTACTTTCAATTTTTTCTTCTTGAGATCATTGAATATTTTGTCTTATATTTTGAGATTTTATAATCAAGATAATACACATATTTGGCAACATTTTAAAATTTATTCTTGCTAGCAGCTAATTTCAAGAATGATAAATCTTTTGAACTAGGGAATTTTTTTATTTTGATAATAATAGTCTTTGAAATCTTGATTATGAGAATATTAGACAATCTAAATGAATTGTTTCATTCAATCTTAATTGTTCTCATATTCTGAAAGAATTCTCAATTTTATCCTTCAATTTTTATATTAATTTATTTTAACTTTAACAATCATACATTCAAATTTCTAAACTTCTTTCTTATACTATTTTTCATTTTTTGCATCTCATTCTCTTTACAGCAGGAGAGCAAAAACTTTCTTCACTATTCCCATAGTACTCAATAAATACTCATCCTGGAGTAAGTGGAAATGTGTGTGTGTGTGTGTGTGTGTGTGTGTGTTGACTTATCTGAGTTTATAAATTAGAATTTGTTGTTTTAAAGTTTTGGTTTTTTTAAATTTTAAAATTTCTCTTTTGCTCTTTAAATCATCAGTTTCATTTAGTATCCTTTTCTTTCATTTATTTGTCTTACTCTATTTCCATCAAATTAATTACTTTGCACAAATGTCTGGTGGCTATGATTATCCTTCTCATTAAGGAACGAGGTGCCACATAGACTGATTAGAGCTCTGAATTCATGGGTAGAGCTTGTCAATGAGATGATTTTGCTTTAGAGTTATCTGTCAAGAGCTCCCACACTCCCTCAAATATCACGTATTGCTAAAGGATACAATAATACATTAAATTAATATCTATGATGAAAGAAAAAGTTTCAACCCCATTTTGCAATTAAGAAAACTTGAGGAAAAAAAATTAAATATATTTGAAAAAATAGAAGCATTTGAATTTGACCAAGGCAGGCTTAACACTGGATTCTTCTATTTACTAGCTGTGTAGCTTAATGTTGAGTCAATAGCTTTCTCCTCTAAGAAAATTGTGTCATAAAGTTTAACTTAACTGATATATGGAAAGAGCTTATCACAATGCCCAGTTTATCTTAACCATTCCTTCATTTCTTTTTTTTATAATTGTTTTACTAGGATATAGTTATTATACAGGGGACAATTCATAGTGACGATTCTGATTAGACTTATG